ATTCCCACTAAATTCTGCTTAAGACAGCTAAAAATACCTTGCTATAATGAACTTTTTTCCATGTCAGCACTTCTGGTAGTTGGCAAATATTTACAGTCATATTAGAAATTAAAAGAGTTAAGCAACTGCAGAGAAGTGCAAAACCAGGTTTACTTCTGAACAGAGGAAGAAAATCAGGCAAGCCATGCAAAAAACAAACTTGAAAAGACTCAAGTCCACCTCACCCAATGACCAATAAATTAGTCTTGGAATATCTCTCATGCAGCGTGTTTTCAGATATTCTTTCTGCTTGATGAGGCATAAAACAAGAAACTTGGACCAAACATCTATGTGAAGTCTTAATTTCCTAAGAGAGTTACATCCAGGGACAGAGGTCTGGAGCTGCTTCATCACTCACAGGACACATGCTGGTGGCTACTGGCTTCATCAGTTCTAGGCGCTTCTTCACGCCACTGACTCCAGTAGCTGTACAGGAAATGCCCACAGCCCTTCTTGCACCTTCTACCAGCAGATGGATTTATATTATTCTAAAACTAGGTGAGAGGAGTGAGAAATCAAACCACAGAGTTAGAATCATGAAATCATAGAATCCTTTAGGTTGGAAGAGACCTTTAAAATCATCAAGTCCAACCATTAAGTGTCAGCATGACTATCACTGCTGTGTTTAATTTCAGAAGGAGCAGCTGTTCTGGCTACAATATATTTTTTTTCCCCCCCTCTGTTAGCTTTTTTGTTCAGTTGAGTGTGATTGCTTATTGTTATTAATCAGCTGCTGAAATGGCAAATTCCATGTTATTTTTAAGCAGGTAACTTCAAATTGACACTATTTTTAATAGGCTCAGGTGGTCATGCTCCCCCACAAAGATTCTTCTACTATGACTCACTCTTAGAAAGACAACAGCAACGTGCCCGAGATGAAACAGGCCAGCAAGACCATATAGGAAAATAAAGCAGCCAAAGAGAGGAAGGAGCTTTTGCTTTATAATTCTACTGAATATAAAGCAAGGTTGACACCAGAAGTATGCCCCAGAGTCCTTTACATAGTAATCATCATTCTACAGCATTTTATGCATAATAAAGAGATCTGGTGTGAAGCTGCATTATCACTTAACACTGTTTTGACCCTGGTGACTAACAGAACACAATGACTTCAGACTTTGCAGGACCCTTCTTGATACACGAAGCATGCCTCGGGTTCATCTGCTCCTCCTGCAAGTCATTCACAGACCAGGCTTAAGGAAGGGAAACAGAAGGAAATCCCTGCCTGTTGTCCCTGCTAGGAAGGAAAAAGCTTTACCAGCCAAACTTGAAGTTCCTGCTGCTTACATACATTACAAGAAATATCATCTGGTTAACAGCAGTGTAATGCCCCTTACCAGCGTTTCACTTGTTGCTGAGAAATAAGTTTGTGAGCCTATGAACACAGCAGAAGCACCCAGAGCTGCTCTGGTAGCAACATGCTCCTACCAGTGACAGCCCGCCAGCTTCCTTGCTAATCCTGCTTCTGGGCATCTGTCTGATCATTCAGGAGTATCATTCAGCTACAATCTGTTTCTCTTCACTCCTCCACCCTGCTCCTTCTCATGTTTGTTTTGTTTATTATTTTTAAAATGCACAAATAGATTTCCTAGAAACTTCCTTGTAATGGGATTAAATAATCTCCAGCTTCTCTTCCCTGCTAGCTAACTTACTCTTACTCTATAGTGAAAGTATGCTCTCTACACCACACACATCCTGCACACAAGTTTCTTCTTAATCAATGGTCTAGCACTTTACTTCTAAAAATACACATAGGAATGAAAAGAAACTCACAGCCACTTTGTGGCTTCTTACAAGAAGCCACAGATGCAAATGGAAGGGTCTCTGCAACTGCAGAATTATTTGCTACTCTTAATGACTCTAGCACAGGTTTCAGGTATTTGTTCTTCCATCAAAGTAGTATCAATATATATATATACACACACACATATAGACATGCTTGCCTTCCTAATGTTTAAATGCAATGACTTTTCTTTCCCTGATGGACTTTGAGGTGTTACCACACAGCTTCGCAAGAAATGTTCCTAACAGCCAACAGCTCCTGTCCCCACATCAAGGGTACAAAATTCCTTTAGAACTACCAAAGCCTACCCTATCCACTAACCAACTTTGTATTTCAGATACTTAAGTTTCAATATTTAGACCTCCTTGGTCATTTTTCATTTGATACTTTCTGAGCTTTTTTTCCAAAATCCTATCACACAAAAATTCTGTACAGCAAAATGTTTTGTCTCTCTGTTAAGGTATGGGAAATGCTCCTGCACTATCAGTCCTTCTTCAACAATGCAAGTCAAAAGGAAGAAAGTTCTGGGGGTTTTTCCCCTCACCCAGGAAATGTTTTACTGGAACCAACTGACACCTTCTGTAATTTTTTGAAAATAGATTTTCTTCAATAGAATCTTATGTTTTCTTATATCAAAAGGCCCAAGTAATTGCATTTCCTACAGGTGTCCTGTTCTGTCCTAAGGAACAGGAGCACACTTCCCTCTGGAGATGTACCTGTTCCCTCCTATGTCCCTCAGTCCTGTCTACTCATAGCATCATCAACATAACAACAAATCAGAGAGAGAATATGGTTTTCCTAGAGAGAAAACTCCTCTGTGACCTGGGGAAATGGGAACACCTCAATTTGTTTGAGTGCAAGTAGTAAGAGTCTGGAAGAGGAACAAGGGTGCGGTCCTCCTGTAAAATGCAGCCTACTTTGAGAGACCACAGTAGTTGAGAAAAGTTTCAGGAGTGAGCAAGTAAGTAAGTGGCATTTACTTAGTTTAGCATTTACCATTAGTCACGTATAACTTTGATTTCATAGTATCTTCCTATAAGAAAAAGCCCTATGGCATTCTCTTAGCAGGCACAAGGTCCTACTGCAGATATAATTACTACTTGGATCCATCATTGCCTGCAGTTAGAAAAGCTCATATTCTAAGCAAGTCTGCTGACCCAACATGTCCCAAGAGGCACAACAGTCGTCAGTGCTGTGGAAATCCACCGTAAGGATTCTTCCTAAACCAAGCACCTCTGGAAGAGTGATGCAAAAGCCACCTCAGTGTGTGTACATGTGTGTGTGTGGCTTGCTTTGGGATTTCTGGGGTGGAGGGAGGGGATATGGGAGTACTGTGTTTTGGTGGTTTTGTTTACCAGGCAGGAGTGGAAAGAAAAAGGGAAAGTACAGGAGGCACCAGTGTTTCAAAGTCTTCAGGAAAAGCGCCCTCA